CCGAATGATCTATAAAATATAGGTCTAGCCCTTTATGCCCTATATGCCCTATGCGCCTAAAGGCGTGGAAAAGGGTCCTTTACTTTTTTTTATTACTACTTAGAAGCTAGTTATTGAATAATTAATCGTAAAAATAACTCTATAAGTGTGTGTAAGTGAATGATTGAGAATATCTTTATATATATATATATATATATATATATATATATATATATATATATATATATATATATATGTGTGTGTGTGTGTGTGTGTGTGTGTGTGTGTGTGAGAGAGAGAGAGAGAGAGAGAGAGGGGGGGGAGCGTTATTAGCTATGCATACAGGCCTACATGCCCCTTTTTCGTTTCATAAGTTGCAGATTGTGACCGGTACCGTCGGTATTGGAGCTCTGCGCTGGCTGCTAAAGATGAGGACGGAGTACGCGTGGGAATGCCTCGAGTGCTGTGTTGTCAATTCTTGACTCAACTCAGTTTAACTCGTTGCAAACATTTTTTGCATTTTTCTACAAAACTGTGTCTCGCTGAGTGCCAGGAAAAGTAAAGCACTCAATTGTGCGATGGACAAAAGATCGGGGAAATAGGGGGTTTACCTTTTGAGCCGTTTCCTTACCAGAAATATGTTTAAGGGAAAAACGGGGGGGGGGGGGGGAGCGCTAAGCTTTCCCCCAACCCTACTGATAATTATTTTGTATGTAGTCCACTTCCCCGCAGACCGTCATTTATAGAAGTTCTTTTGTCAATTATTACTTTATATATATCACATTGCTTCAAAAAAAAAAAAATGTATTTGTTTGCCATTCAGCCCATTTTTACTACGAATAGTATGTACTTAAGTCGGTGTCTGTGGCTTTAGCGTTGCAAACGTGCTTCGAAATGAGGAAATGCTGGGTTGGATCCCAGCTGCGTTGGTTTCGACAGTTTTACCGATAGCTGACAGTTCAGAGGGCAATGGCAAACTACTGAACATAAGATTTATCCAGAAAAATAGCTAATAAAATGTTAGGTTGGTTCTGCAACGTCCTATAAAGGATACGCAAGTAACTTTCTTTTTACTTAACAAGCCTTGGTTCCTTTCAAGCGCTCCACCCTGGTCTACGACTCACTCCCCACAGTTAGTGAATCTTGAATGTTTAATTAAGAATCGTCATCACAGAATTCGGGACACTCCCATAAGTTCTCAGTCCCCATCTTCAGCAGCAAGCGAAGAGTTCCAATTCCGATGGTACCAGTAACGTCTGAATGAATATCCGTCTTATCCTTCCCCTGAGTGTTAAGCGTCAGCAAGATCCCTTGGTAACTCCTCACAGCGCCATTCTCCTTAGACTGTAATGATCTATCTGCGCCTCTGCACTGTTCACTTGCTCCAACAGTTAGTGTTGATGCCCCTAAACGCAGGTCACATTTGTACGAGAATCCATATATTAGGGCACACTCCCCGCTCCATGGGTGGTCAGCAATAATATGCCAGGCCTTAAACATTTCTTGGTACATATTTTAGCGTAATCACCTAGGAGCCCGATCGTCACAAAAATATGTATCGCTGAGGAATTGAACCAACAACTGTCGAGCCATCTGAATATTTATTTAGCTTTTTTTTCAAACTTCTTTGATAAGTGATTTATTGAGTAATATGCCAACTAAGCCCTATATTATGTTCATTATAATTTCTTTTAATGATCTGAAAATATTCACTTGTCTCAACCCCCCCCCCCCCACCCCTGCATACATTTAAAATGATTGTTTTCTTCTTTTATGAGACGCTATCTCCTTTTGATTCATGATAATATTTCTATTTGCTTCGCATCTTGTCTCCTGTGACAGCGCCATACACCTCATGTGCTACGGATAATGATCCGGTTTTATATTTTTAGCGCTACAGAATGCAGCATTATCTCTCTCGCCTCACTAGTTGACAAACATGTCCTTGAGAAAGGGTGGAGATTATTAACGAAAAAAGCAAATAACGTTGACACGAGATCGACTCCTCGCTTCGTTCTAAGACGTCAGTGATACAGTGCTAGCCGTTCTTGTCAACAGCCTGGCAGGTCTAATGTTTTATGGCTGTTCATAACGTTGTCATTTAAGGTGACAGTTCATATATCAAAGATGAACTTCACTGAACAAGTTATTGACAAGAGAGGAATCCAAGAGCGCAAGACATGATTTAATTCCATGTATGGTGCTATTTTTGATGTAGAACGGTCGTCGCAGGCAAGCAAAAGACACCAGAGTCGTCGTTTCCGCCAGCATTTTAGCCGCATACTTTAATAATATCCTACCTCAAACAGGGGGAAATCCACAGTTCACGGGACAGTCTAATATTTCAGGGGGTAGTAGATAGGATGAATGCAGTTGTGGGACCTAGGCTGCACTCTCTCGTGGGACGCAGGTGCGTTGGGGTCAGGGCCAGTTCTAGATATTTCGGGGTCGTTAAAAGTATTTAAAAGCCGGGAAACCCCCCAGTCTTAAAACGTTCTAAAATGTTAAACTGTCCTGTGACTCATTTGCGGGTAGGATAATACAAAAGAATCTACCTTTTCTACATTCGCCTTTTAATAGCAGTAAGCACAATATACTTTAGTTACCCTTTATTCTACATTTGCCGTTATAATGTCAGCAAGCATATTGTAGTTTACAACTAATCTGCGACATCTGCACTTTCAGCCCAAAACATCCTATTTAGGCAAACCCCAGTTAGTCGCTCTTTACAATATTATTGTTAGGGCTGTGGATCTATTCATTTTCCTCCTTTATGAGGCCGATGCGAGGACTTTACAACAAGAAAGAGCATTTGTTAAACACATTACGTATCGAGTGCTGTTTGGTCAGTAAAAATATAGCGATAGTTCCATAAGCCTAAACTCTTCACAGAGTGAGGTTTTGATCTATGCTGTTACTATACAATATATAAAAAGTATAACACTTCAGTAAACACCAAAACATATAGGTGTTTCGTCCTTTTTAGGACGAAATTTTTTGTTATTTGAATCCCCACCCTAGCTTTTGCCAGGGGTCGCAATATAGACAGGCCATAAATGTGGCCAATTGTCTGAACGCGGTTTTGGGGACCTCTCCACGGCGATACTCATCCACATGGTGGCACTTTGTGTCATCGGGTGTTTATCGCTTGTGTGATGTCCTGGTGGGGTATAAAGTCAGTCAGTCAGTCAGTAAACACCAGGATGGAGCGTCGTCCATCGTTTAGTAGTTGCGAGTCTGACTTGTTAATTCCAACGTACCGCGATCGAAATGCATTGCTGGCAGCATGGATTTTTATCATATGGGGTGTCGCAGGTCGACCTAACCTAAAATTGGTACCAGTATGTTTGTCCTGGGAAAGTAAAGACGGCCGGTTTAATGCTGACCACATTACTCACCTAGTGCCGATTTGTTGGTGAAAATATGGGTGCTCTTCCCGTATGCTTGATGCGCCCAAAAGCGTGAAACGGGATCTTTATTTTACTCTTTACACGCCAGGATAGGCAGGGGTGAAAGGTTATGTAAGAGGCGACACACTGGCCATATCTGCAGTAGTCAGTGGAGAAAGAATTACAGACAGGCAGACATACTTTATGCGCTCTGTCCCAGAGACGTTGAAACAAAGAAGTCAGACACGATGAATTGCCTGTTTAAAAACTGATATTAAAAAAAGGGCAAGACCTTAGAACCCCGGTTGCGAGGCAAAGAAATAATAAGTGCAAATTCCCCGTATGGATTCCGAAGCCCCATTTTGGGGGTGGGGGGGGGGCAAGAATAGACCCACTGTCTCCCCCAAAGCATGTCGTAAGAGGCGACTATCTGGAAGCTTTCTTCAAAGTCGGAGTACATCTGCCTGAGAGGCAAGCGACCAACAATCTTCATGCAAATGAGTCAGACCTGTGAAACGGATGTACACGCAACACTCAGGTTCTGGAACAGGACTAAAGTCCCAAAGTGGACGAACAACCAGAACTTTCTGCCGGAGTTTACAGCCAGTGAACGCGAAGAAGAAGAAGATAAGTGCCAGTCAACTCCTACTGGGCACGGTGAGCACGTAAACACTAAAATGGCTGTTGCATCGGAAGATGGAGCAAGAATGGGTCTGACCAATGTGATAGGATGTCGATACGGATGTCAAGTAACAATTAACAAGATAATATTTGACAACTAACTTGACAGCCATGTGAACATGTAGATTGGCACCTGAGACAACAGATCATGTCCCGCAAGACTGTCCCAAATACAACATACTAAGGCAAAAAGTTTGGCCAAGAGAAACATTGGTGCACGTGAAACGTTACGTGTCGCTGAGTGAATTACAGAAGACAGTGAAGTTCATACTAGACACAACAATTCAAGCGAACGAATGAAGAAGAAGAACAACTAATTCTACAGCAGAAAGTGCGAAATGATTCTTCTTCTTCTAGAGTGACATTGATGATCAAATCTGTCTACAACCGTGTGTCGTGATTACGATTAAAATTACTCTTTTCTTTCGCTATTAGCGCATCTTGCATGCGGTTCCAGACTCTTAATTTTAAAGAATAATCGACATTCAGTGGCTGATGTCGTCAACATCTCACCTATCGACGTTTACCTTTAATTTGGTCATAGTTTATTCATAATTTTGTCAGTTTTATGAAACAAAGCATGCTTGGGAAGCTACTCGATCAGAAGGGTAATGCTCTGTCTGTGCGCCGATCGTAGGTTCATTCCTAGACCAGTTGCCAACAAAGCTAGGGTCTGGCCTGCCTTGTCATAACATAAAGTTTTCATGTTGTATTTCCTCGTCCTAAGATAAAGCTAGAATTCTTTGCAATGGCTTTACCTGGTCAAAGCCTTTGACACATTGTGGGATGTCAGGTTCGGCATACACAGCCCAACATTTGGCCCTAGCAGATAACAGAGCACCCGACGACTGGCACACGGTAGCTCACCAGTGACTGGTCCAGATCTGGGTGCTTTTTGTTTTGAACTTTTAGTTTAACTGTTGTTGACTTAATTTTTTCTTTTTTTTTCAGGAAGAGCTTACCCGAGGAATTATGGTTCGACTCCTAAAAGACGCTGGCGCAGACGTGAACATGAAAGATAAAATCGGTAAAACCGCGCTAATTCATGCCTGTGAGCAGAGATGCAACGATGTCGTCAAGATCCTCATTCAACATGCAAACATTTCTCCTGATGTTGAAGATGTTGATGGTAAGCTCTTTTGCTTTTTTTTTTCTTGTCTCTGTCACTGGTTTTCAAGTAAAGAAAGTTCGAATGGGTGTAGCCCTGTGCTTTGGCGATCTGTCAATGTGTTTTTAACAATATTCTATGCACTAACCTTCTGTTTAAGATGAGTGTGGACGTGTGTATGAGAGTCGCAATGTGAATTAGACCGGACCTTTATCGTGTCATAATTCCATAGATAGCAGTGCACATATCGTTCAGCCATGCACATGTGAAGCTAATTTTCATTATGGCATATATATATATATATATATATATATATATATATATATATATATATATATATATATACAGAATATGCATATTCTCCTCGTCTACTTGTTGATATTTAAGCCATTCCCAAGTAATATCCATAGCTGCCAAATTGCTGATTTTCTACCCATGGTATATCATGTCTTATCTCACAGTACCTTCTGCGAAACCACCAAGTCGTCTAGTCCCTATCCGAAAGAAAAACACTATCCGGTAATTTCGTGCAGCAGGGTACCAGCCCTGAGCTTCATGAACTCAGGTGGGCCCACCTCCGAAAGTGTCTAGGAGAATCATGGGCCGAAACACTTGTCGACGAGGATAACTTCTACTGATGACTGGTAGATCCCTGCTGTACTTGATCCCCTGTGGAGTTTATTCCTATTGTCACCTTACAGTCATTCATTTCTCTTTCTACTTGCTTCGTGTTTTTTCAGGCCATTCATATCTCCTTCCTCCATCTGTCGTCCACTGCACAGCTTTTAAAGATTGTGGTGTCAGGATTTTTACCCCCTAAAAAATCTAAATGGGACATACTGATAAAGTAATTAGTAGCCTTGCTTACAGAGGCTAAAATATGAGTTTCTATCAGTGGCATTGTGGTTTTCTAGATCAGTGCGTCCGAGTTCGGAAAAGCTTGATAATCAATATACCTAATAAATGTAAACATTCGCGCGCGCGCGCGCGAGACAGACAGACAGACAGACAGACAGACAGACAGACAGACAGAGAGACAGACAGACAGACAGTCAGTCAGACAGACAGACAGACAGACAGACAGACAGACAGACAGACAGACAGACAGACAGACAGACAGACAGACAGACAGACAGACAGACAGACAGAGTCAGAAAGATATTTTATACCTAATTTGTTAATCATCGTCAGGTGCCCCGCCGACTGGCCCTGTCTTGCTTATCACACTCATCAACATCGTGTATCATTTATGTTCTCCCACGTTTCCGTGGTATGACTTTAGGATATCACAAAGAAATCTTCTCTAATTCTTCTATCACTTCTTATAAATCTGTCCTGTTATCACAACATGTTCTGGGCTTTCTCTTCTCATAATGGGGTCAAACCATGATGACAACCACTTGATAGTTTGTGGACCCACATTTTTATACCTTAGGATGCATCGACTTTCAGATCTTGTACACTATGTTTATGAGCCAGTTGCCATCGACTGAGATCGTGTTGGCTATGTTTATGAGCCAATTGCCATCGACTTTCAGATCGTGTGGGTTATGTTTATGAGCAAGTTGCCATCGACTTTCAGATCGTGTTAGCTATGTTTATGAGCCAGTTGCCATAGACTTTTAGATCTTGTACACTATGTTTATGACCCAGTTGCTATCTACTTTTAGATCGTTTGGGCTATGTTTATGATTCAGTTTCCATCGACTTTAAGATCTTAAAGACTGCATGTGAGCCAGTTGCCAAAGACTTCCAGATCGTGTGGCCTATGTTTATGAGCCAGCTGCCATCGGCTTTTAGATCCTGTGGACTGCGTTTATGAGCCATTCGCCATCGATTTCAAGATCTTGTAGACTGTGTTGTGTTTTACGTAACGTTGCTAGCTACATATTTACATACACCACTCGACACTCAATGACTGAGAAGATCAGACTGTTTATTTTTTACTCCCTAACACTTTCATTTTATAGACTTCTTCTTCTTCTTCTTCTTCTTCTTCTTCTTCTTCTTCTTCTTCTTCTTCTTCTTCTTCTTCTTCTTCTTCTTCTTCTTCTTCTTCTTCTTCTTCTTCTTCTTCTTCTTCTTCTTCTTCTTCTTCTTCTTCTTCTTCTTCTTCTTCTTCTTCTTCTTCTTCTTCTTCTTCTTCTTCTTCTTCTTCTTCTTCTTCTTCTTCTTCTTCTTCTTCTTTTCCTTTTTTTTTCTTCTTCTTCTTCTTCTTCTTCTTTTTCTTCTTCTTCTTCTTCTTCTTCTTCTTCTTCTTCTTCTTCTTCTTCTTCTTCTTCTTCTTCTTCTTCTTCTTCTTCTTCTTCTTCTTCTTCTTCTTCTTCTTCTTCTTCTTCTTTTCCTTCTTTTTCTTCTTCTGCTACGTATGCCTGTGTATTCCAGTAGTCAACAACCATCCACTATACATTCATCAGGCTTGCGAGAAGCTATAACCCGATAGTTCGTGACTCACATGAAAATTGCAATTAAACATGTGATGTAATTCAGTTCAATTTCTGTTATGACCTCTCTCTCTCTCTCTCTCGTGTGTGTGTGTGTGGGCGCGCTCGCGTGTGTGTGTGTGTGCGTATGTGTGTGTGTGCGCGTATATGTGTTTGAGTGTGTTTTAAACCGTGGAGTGTCTACTAATAGTCAAGTTTTAAAACTGGCTATACAATGTATTTATGAAACGAATTTTAAATATATTCTTTTTTTACACACAGCTAAAATCTTTATTATATGGTCCTTGGTATGTGCTTCAGGTTTTCGTGTCTGTACATGGGGTCCTGTTTTCAGCTTACTGACAATGATTTTTTGAAACATTTTTTTCTGCATGACATCTGTTTTCTTGATCTCCCCTGATGTACTTATTGTAGTTTCCGTATGATTATACTTTTGTGAATTGCGTATGCTTCTAATGCCCCATAATGGTGATGAAAAAGGAAGAATACGTTCACTACCTCTCTAACAAGCATATCGTCAAAAGCCACTAAATAAGGTAAGTTCCATTAAAGTCTGAGTGCATCTGTCTGAAAAACCAGCGGTCTGATTACAAATAATCCACCTATGTAAAACGGATGTGTACGCAAAATGAAACAAGAGAGAAACTAAACAAATAAAAGAGAAATCAGTCAATGGGAAAAAAAATTATAGAGCTGGATATCCCACACATACACACACACACACACACATTGCGCGCGTGCGCGCATTGAAAAATTCGTTATAAAATGTATGTTAATAAAAAATTTACATTTCCTTTGGTGGTACTAGCTATTCTCCGAAAGTTATTCACCGATTGCTTTCAAATTTTCATATTATGATGTATTTGACTACGCGCGTGGTATTATGTCACAGCATCGCACAATCCACAAGCTATTTAGCAACAGCAACGATCACATCGGTTTTTGCACAGTTGTATATGAGTGTCGAACAAGGCATGACCTACACAGCTCCAGCGACGATCACATCGGTATCTTGGTTTTGTTTTCCAACGATTCAATTTAGTTATCTTCTTTGCTGCGTTCACAGCACAAGTTTTTATTTACGCTGACAATCGACCTTTGACTATTGACCTCAGAAATCTGCCTGAAGATAGTCGAAGAGTTGTTGACAAATTGTATGGAAATGTTGAGATGTGAGAATTTCTTCGGTGAGGGAGTAGTCGGTGGCTTTGGAAGAACGGGGGACAGGAAGGGGAGGGGGAGGTGGTGATGACAGACGCTGTTAACTAAGAGAGCTTAAAAATGATTTTAATTTAGCCTAAAACAGGATTTTAAAGTTCTCATTTGTTGTTTATTTTTTATGTACACAAATAACTATCTTTCTAATACAATTTAATCGACCACTAATGTAAAGACACTTATATGTTGCGTGTTTTAGAGCCGACAAATCAGATTATCTGCATATCTGCGCATACACCAATTGTGATATTAACCCTATTAGACACGTGCGCCTTCTATTATCTTTCTTTTTCATTTTGAAATACTGAGCCCTGCAAACGTGGCGGCTACTGCTAGTAGCTAATGTATTTCACTGAAATACTCACACTGCCCGGGTAAAATTTGGAGTTAAAAATCTACCCAAAGTATTTCAGGAACCTCGCCTGTGCAACAGAGTTCGTGCACTGCGCTGAGATTCTTCAGACTCAGGCTTGAATTATGCATATGGCCTAAAGGCTGAACGCGGTTTCTGAGACCTCTCCACTTTGATCCTCATCAACATGGTGGCACATTGTGTCATCGGGTGTTTATCGCTTGTGTGATGTCCTGGTGGGGTAGAAAGTCAGTCAGTCAGTCTGCTATAAAGTCCGTGCACAGCGCTGAGATTTTACGGAATCAGGCTTGAGTTAGAAGTAGAAAGGAGCACTTATGGGTTATCCCTTATACCACGAAGTTGATTCGTTGTTGAAACCCAAAATCTAAAACCAATTTGGCGCAGTGAGGGTTATGGTATTCATTTTCACAAACAGAAATGTTGTTGTTGTATATTATTTTGTTTTTAATTAAACATTAAGGTCCCGCTTAAGATACCCCCAAAGATGTATAGGAAAATATGCTATTTCTGGGATAATTAAAAGTCAAAATTCTAACATTTGAAAATGTTGGCAGACGGGATAAATAAGCTGAATTCTACGATTTAATTTGTACAACAAACAAGAACAGTTGAGATAAGTGACGCTTCGGCTAGTTTCAATAAAACATCTCAGAAGTCACGGTCGGAATGAGGAGATACGCCATACTGGCCGGTTCTAACCTCTATGGAAGACTGTTTAACCTCTGGAAGACTGCGTGATTAGAAGAATGTGAGGAGTTATTTGAAGACTGTTAGTTAGTTAGTTAGTTAGTTAGTTAGTTAGTTGGGTTATCATCATTGCACTCCGGACATGTCCATAGGTGCTCAGATCCTCCCCTCAGTATGAATCCCAACGTCCGATGGCTAATAGTACCAGTTCTATGTTGATTAACAAGTCTTCTGACGTGTCCGGTGTGCGTCTCGTTTTTTGCTGTGCCGATCTTAATTCCCAAGTCTGCCATTCTGGC